AAAGGGGGAAACCCTGGACCACCCTCCTAGGGGAGGGAAGGTCCGGTATCGCTTCTTGGCCTTTTAGCTAAGATCTGAAGGGCTTGCAATCGTTTTTTGCACTTAATTTGCGGAAATGTCTGAGGAGAAGAGTACTATTGATCAAGTTGTTAATGAAGTTGTTAATGAGACTATGGATGAGTCGAGTTCTTTTCAAGATGCGCAGGATGTTAGTTCTGGTACGTGGGCCGAGCAAGTTGAGTGTGCCTGAGGTTCCCAGTCCTGAGAGCAACGATTATGAAGAAATTGAGTCACCAGAAGCGTTGCACCAGCTTATTTCAATTAGCAGCGTTTCTTTGGTTGTAGTGCCTGACAGCACCTGGAACATTAATGGTTATGCTGCAAAGCTTCAACGAAACCTCTCAGTTACCTTCTCTGTCAATGCTGAGATTACTGGCCTAGATATTTTTGAGGGCTTTATTAAAGCGCAGATGAACCCCGATAATATCGCCTCCATCCAGTATCGAAGCTGAAACCGGTCATGGGTGCTTTCATTCACCAACCAGGCGACGAAAGAGGCTGTTTTGGAATTAGGCCGCATCATGATCAAAGAATTCTTGGTTTTCCTTGGAGATGCAGATTTATTAACTGTAATTCTGAAAATCTACGAAGCGCCGCCCGAGATGCCTGAGACAGTTATCATTGGGTGCTTGTCTCACTATGGGCCTGTTTTGTCTTTTCAAAGGGATCGTGGTATTGCCACCGGCATTTTGAACCGCGTACGAACTGCGCGGATGTGCCTGGTGAAAACCATCCCTTCGTCGATTTGAATTGCAGGTGAAGCCGTTTGGATTGCTTATGCAGGGCAGCCTAAAACCTGCCCTAAATGTGGCGATGAAGGTCATCTCGCATTGGGATGCAAAAATCCGTGGTGCTATAATTGTGAGTTTCCGGGGCATAGAGCGGCCGAATGCCAAAAAGAGCTATTGTGTAGCATTTGTTTGGAGGCCAAACATCCTGTTTCGAGCTGCCCCTTTCTAATATTTAGTGCAAATGTTGCAAACACCGAAGAAGATGGGAATTATGCTGCCGCTGCAAAATCAAACTCTGTAAGCAGAATCCGGAAAAACAACCCTGTGGAAGATTCTAGCAAAGATAAAGAGTCAGGGCGTGCAAGCAAGCACAAAGGCCAAGATAAAAGCAAAGACAAGGGTGGAAAAGACAAAGGCAGTGAAGAAAAAGGCAGTAAAGACAAAGATGGCGGAAAAGACAAAGATAGTGACAAACGCAGCCAAGACAAAGACAAAGAGTGTAGTTCGAGCAAGGAAAAGACCAGAGAGAGAAGTAAAGATCGAGGAGATAGACGCAGGGATAGAGATCGCAAGCGTAACCGGGAACGGAATAGGGACCGTGATTGGTGTCACCCTTGGGATAGCAGTCAGCGCGACCGGGGCGACCATGATCGGTACGCAGACCACGACTGTGATCGTTCTCGCCACCATCATGATTATTCATCCAATTTGTACTCCAGTGACAGTGACTATGATGGTTATTATTCTCACAGTTACAGGTAATCTATTATTTAGTCTCTTAACACGATCGAAATGCAACTAAGATGCGTGTCTATTAATATTCGCGGGCTCAGCTCGCCTGGCAAATGTCATTTAATTTCATCCGAATTGTCAGGTTTGAAATATTGTTTTTCTTTTACAAGAAACCCATATTTCTTGTAAAGAGAAAGCAGATCAATTCGGTCGCCTATGGCCCGGTAAATGTTTTTGGTCTTTTGGGATTGGTAAGTCTGCAGGTGTTGCCATTCTTACCTCTCCCAATTTTTCTGGTAAAATATCTCGTTTCGTTTTCGACTCTGATGGTCACGTTTTGAGTGTCTTAATTCAATTAGGTAATTCTAGCTTTAATGTGGTTAACATTTACTCTCCTAATGAGGTATCTGATCGCAAAACCTTTTTTGAGCGGTTACATGATTACTTTCTTTCCCGCCTTCTAATTATTGGCGGCGATTTTAATTGTGTTGACAATCCACTTGACAAATTTCACTGGAATGATGTTCATTCCATTGACAAAAGTTCTCTTTGTGCCTTGAAATCAGCTTTTTCTTTGGTTGATGTTTGATGCAAACAGCACCCACGCGTGGCCTCATTTACATGGTCAAACAGTAATAATACTCAGGCTTCTAGATTAGATCGGTTTTTTATTTCCAAATCTCTCTTTGGCAAGAACTGCTCAAGTAAAATTTTTCCTTGTGTTCTCTCCGATCAGAATTTTGTTGACTTTGACTTTGCTTCCAACCTTTCGCGCTGTAAAGGTGTTTGGAAGTTTAATTGTTCTTTGTTATTGGATACTGACTTTAAACAATTAATGACTAATGAAATCGAGAAATCCAAACTTGAGGGAAACAACTTTGCCTCCCTCTGGGATTGGTGGGACAACTTCAAAGTTAAAATTCGGAGAATATCTATTGATTTTTCCATTCGTAAACAGAAAAGTTAACGCTGATCGTTCTTTACTCACTAAGAAACTCACTCGTGCGAAAAACATTCTTCATTCTGGTGATCTGTCTGCCGCACCTATTGTTAAAAACCTTGAGAGCGCCCTTTCGTCTTTTATTTCAAAAGAGGCCGAAGG